CCCCATGAGGATCATCTCCCACCTAGGCAGCCATAGATGGTTCATGCCGTTTATGTGTTGGATAGCTAGTTTCTTAGTTTGGAATGATTCAATGTGAACATGATTGTTGTTGTTGTTGTTTAGTCGTTTAGTCGTGTCCGACTCCTCGTGACCCCATGGACCAGAGCACGCCAGGCACTCCTGTCTTCCACTGCCTCCCGCAGTTTGGTCAAACTCACGCTGGTAGCTTCGAGAACACTGTCCAACCATCATGTCCTTTGTCATCCCCTTCTCCTTGTGCCCTCAATCTTTCCCAACATCAGAGTCTTTTCCAGGGAGTCTTCTCTTCTCATGAGGTGGCCAAAGTACTGGAAGGATCTTTCCTTCCAGTGAGCACTCAGGGCTGGTTTCCTTAAGAATGGATAGGTTTGATCTTCTTGCAGTCCATGGGACTTTCAAGAGTTTCCTCCAGCACCGTAATTCAAAAGCATCAATTCTTCGGCGATCAGCCATCTTTATGGTCCAGCTCTCACTTCCATACATCACTACTGGGAAAACCATAGCTTTAACTATATGGACCTTTGTTGGCAAGGTGATGTCTCTGCTTTTTAAGATGCTGTCTTTAAGATGCTGTGAACATGATTAATGTATTTTAAATGCTTTTCACATAATCCATATTTCTCATCCACTGTTGTGTCAATTTTTCTCAGTATACAGTTTTAAGTTTACATTTTAAACTCCCCAATAGCCACCAAAATAGTAGATGGTTTTAATGTCCACGAAATAAACAATTGCTTTGAGTTATATATAAGCCCCCCCAAAAAAGGATTAGCAGCATTCCTACAGTCTGTTAATGCTCCAATTGTTGCCACACAAATAAAACATCCTTTTTTTGCATAAGCAATAGTGCATTTGAGTTAAACTGTATTCAACAGATATATGACAATGTGTAGAAAACTATGTGTTCCTTTCTTCAAATCTACTAAATACGTAAAAGTGTTTGAAAACACCATGAGCCTGGCTGCAGCGCAAGACACTTTGCAATCTTTCACCGGCTTCAGATGGAGGCAGAGACAGTAGTACCTGGCAAGCAGGATGGTAGGCACAAAAGAGCAAGACTTGACAGGCTTCAACCAGAGTTCAATTCGCTGGTCCACAAAATTCAGTTGTGAAAAGTGGTTTGAAGCACAGCTAAGGACTATGCTCTTGGTGCTTTTAAGTTACATCTGTCTTCAGCAGCTAATAATTTCCGTTACATTATGAGATAAATCTGTCAATTATTAGTAACGTTTCCACTTACCTGTACACAGTGTTCAATGTACTGTATACGCACAAAATTAATGAATGCACACATTAACCACATTTTTGCAAGTATCCAGGAGACAGGATTGGTCACATATGGTAGCAAACAATGTAGCAAACATACAAGGGTAGGATTCTGGATTTATGGAATACAGCCAAGCTGTGTCATTAACTGATTTTGAAAGTTCCCTCATTTTCCAAAGCAATTTGCTGTGTGGCATGTTGGAAAAGTTATTTAGGAAACATATTTAGGAAACATAAACCCAAAGAAACCAAGCCTTGTAAGGAATAGTTTAGAGAACTGGGTATGATTAGCCTGGTGAAGAGAAGACTGAAAGGAGATATGATAACCATCTTAAAATATCTTAAGGGTCGGAAGATGGAACAAGTTTGTTTTCTCCTGCTCTGGAGGGTAGGACCTGGACAAATGGATTCAAGTTATGAGAAAGGTGATTCCAACTAAACATCAGCAAGAACTTTCTGGCAATGAGAACTGTTCGACAGTGAAACAGACTCTCGCAAGAGCTTGTGGACTCTCCTTCCTCGGAGGTTCTTAAGCAGATGTTGGATGGCCATCTGTCATGTATGATCTAGTTGAGATTTCTGCATTGCAGGTGGTTGGACTAGATGGCACTTGGGGCCCCTTCCAACTCAACATTTCTGTGATTCTATGAAAGCATCCTCAGACAATCAATATAATTGTAATATCTGGTTAAATCAATGTGCTGGATTGCTTCCATAATGGTTGAATTTCCAGTCTCCTGACAAATATACCTTAGCTAATTGTTTGCATTTCAGTGTAACTCTTAAGGTAACCATTTTCTCTGGGAATTGCACTTGAATATTTTTTAAAAGGCTTAAATAGTATGTACAGCATCTCGTGGATTAGGCTATTCAGTAAATTTATAGTCAATACATATAACCCATTATTTTCCTTTTCCTAAAAACTCTAGTGTCCCCCTCTACCCCACTGGTGTTCAGCCCCCAGTTTAACAAGTCTGACCACAAAGTATAAATCTGCACAATGCCTTGAAGGTAACATTTGTGTGTGTGTGTGTGTTATAGCCTGCTTTATAAATGGTTTAGGAAATGGGCTACAAGATTGCAAACAGATTGTGGGAAATGATCTTATTTTCTGGAGTTGGGAACAAGAGGAATCCACACGTTCCTTGCACTTAAATAGGAGCATTGAGTAAAAACTAAAAGGTTTTTACATTGCACAGTCTAATAACAGAGATTTTTGACTGTCTGAAAAAGGTCCTTTCTCCAACATTGTTGATTTCTTCACTGATTAATGCTTGGACTTTCAGAATAAATCACATTGCTCCAGTATAATGGCCTATGAAACGCATTTCTTTTTAGACAGGAGTCTCTTGTTTTGACACTGGATTTGGATTCCAAAGACTTTCCTGGGTTGTTTCCATGTTTTCTTTTTTTAAGAGAGCTCCATGGCCCTCATACATGGTCTATGAGCTTCCCAGAGGCATTTGGTTGAACAGAATCTTGGTCTAGATGAGCTTTGGTCTAATCCAACAGGGCTCTTCCTATGTTCTGATTTCATCACAGTGAGCAATAGTTGTAACATTTTCCGTTCAGCCTAACTTTCTTTAAAGTGATCACAAAAGGAAGGTTGGTCACCAATTTGTTTAACCGTATAATTAATCTATAAATAAGTTTCTGCACTTACTCTATAATTTGCAGCCCTGAATTGGGTTCTTCACAAATCACATCTATGCATCTATGAAAAATGGTGGTGAGTCTCAAATTAAAAAGGGTGGTTCTTGCTTCTATCTTTGACCTCTTTACTGCTTCCCGTTGACACAAAAGGGAAAAAAGGCTAAATGACTTTTCAAATTAAGGCAGCAATAATTAACTACTGGCATTGTTTGTGATTTTCCGATTCTGCGAGCTAATGAGAGAGAAATTAGTGCTTAGCAGCAGGAGTTTCTGATAGTCAGTGCCAAATGTTAAATGTGCCAACAAGTTAATTTTGGTTTTAAGTACTTCACTTAAGTCTTTTTGAACAAGGAATTAGAATAGAGATTGTATGGATGTTGCGCATATGCTACCTTTGATTTATGGAGACATTGTATTATGAGATACAGTCTGTCCGGCGTTGAAGGAGTAATAACATTAAAATACAGAAATCCAGTTGATTCAGTGGGCCAGTTGAAACATAACCACAAACCATGGTTTGTGGTTACAAGAGAGGATCTATTGTAGGCCACTATAATCTGGTTTTACTGCCGATCACCATTTCGAAAGAATTATTTAACACAGCTAAATCTGCAACACTAGTCCTTACATAGCACCTGTCATTCTAAAACACCCAAGGTTTTAAGAGTGAAAGATGCTATACACAGCAATTGCTTCTGAAAGCATAGGAAGGCAGTGGTTATAAATCCACAGATGGCCGAATTAAGCAGTTGAATATAAGAAAGGTCCTCCGTCTAATCAGAATGGTAAAAGAAGTCCACTAGGTTTTGTCGCTTTTGTTCATTATTCATTAGACATCTGTGGAACGGTCCTTCCATTGTAGTGTTGGAAAGAACCATCCCAACAAAGCCAGCCTGGTTCTGCCCACATTTTTAAATATGTTTCATTGACTTGACGGACTTTTAAATTGTTATGGCTCTCTTGAGACATCCCCATTATAATTAAGGCCCTTAACAAAAGCTGACTACCATGTCGGTGTGAATTCAGACCCGTGTACAAACCATTATATGACATTCCACTGACCTTGTACATACAGTCTCTTAACAGCTCATCCTGTACTGTTGTTTTTGGCAAGTTCACTGTGCCATACAATAAATCACAGAAAGGGAGAAGGAAAGAGCTTTCTGGCCTCGTGTTGTACAGCCTGGTGTAACGTTAGACTATAGAAGGCTGTTCTGTTTTTAGACATCCTTTTACTAACCTAACATTCATAATTTATGATTTCACTGTAAAATTCTTGCAATACTATACCAAAAGTAGTGCTTCCCTTTAATTAAGTGCTCTCAGTAGGAAAAACGTGAAACTGATGTGCAAAACATATCACTACACAATGATTGATAGTGATTACTTCTTTATGAACCCAGCCTGAGGGTCTGAACTTCCTGATGGATAAAATAGGCCATGGGGCTACTTCCTGAGATTGCCTAGTAGGGATCAGTCAGCCTTAGTAATATCTAAGGAATTTCTAAGGCACAAGCAGGAGAGTTTTAGAATAAAATAAAAAAAACCTGTGATGAACTGTGTTTTTGCATTGATAGTTTCTTGTGCAATTCCTCATTGTAGAGATTTTATTACAAATAATAGTAAGCATTATACAATACTGAAATCTTTGATCCTCTCTGAATTCTTCTTCATACTCTTCCCTTTTCTTAATCCTGAAATATCAGGGTTGGAACATGTGGAAAGCAAAATAATATAGAGCCTCCTCTAAAAATCATGCAGTGTTCAGCCAAAGGTTCTTATTGGACTATTATTAACTAATATTCAAGGAAATAACAAATAATATTTGTTTGTCCAGTAAGAATCTTTGGAGATCCTTTGAAAGATTAAACACAGCCTTTCGTTTAAACGTGCTTTATCTTCAATACCTGTAAAGCGCTTTGTTCATTTTCCATGACCTGTTTCCAGAGTTATTAATAGTTCACAGCTTCACATGTTTTTATGCTCTTCTTGTTGGTGTGATTATTCATTAATAATGTCTGGTCTTTTCTTTTTTACCCTAGATTTGGTCCCGGACTAGTTATCTATTGGTATGGCTTTATCGAAGAGTTGGACTGTCATCGCAATCGTGGTATCTTGCTCAAAGACTGCTTCCCTACAGACATAGTTACTCTCTGAGACTTCCATGGGGGTGATAGAAAAAATGAGAGGAAAAGGCGAATCCGGAAGCAATTTTACTTTCCTGCACTATAAACTACTGGCAACATCTGCCCTGAACTTCAGGTGAACTCTTCCAGCCCAGGATCACACTACTACTACTTTAGACAAACACATCAAGGGTCTCTGCTTTACTTCAACCCTCTGCTGATGCAAGCAGCCAAAAAATACAGACACAGCCCAAACATTATCAGCATTTCTGTCTCTGTCAAACAGTTTATAGATAGCCGTAATCTTTCTTCCTTCCGGATGGCTTCTCCTTGCACTTTGAACAAAAGGAGAAATGTGGAGGCTGAAAGGTGTGGCTTTCAGCTTTCCTCCCAGTTATGAAGTCACTTTAAAAAAATGTCTTCTGTCACACAAGCCTCTTTTCTGGCAAATGTTAAAAACCTAGCTAACACAAACTTAAGTATTCCTTTCTTAAATGGTCATGTTGTGCCAAGCTACTACAGGCTCGTATAGGTTAGGGAAGCGAGTCATCTGGCAATGCATTGTTTTAACTCTGAACTTACAGGGTTTCTGGGCACAAAGCCAGACAGTTGACCCTTTTAATGTAAATTTTAATTACTGGTATTTATCTCATTTCATGCTGTTAAAAGCAATAGCATAATTGTAGAAATGCTCTTCTCTCTTACAAAAAAATGTTTCATTTGTCCGATCCTGAAATTAAAAGTCAAGAAATATTTATAGTATATATTAAGTTGTAATGGACATTTTAATATTTTAGAATAAAGTGGGCATTGTTAGAGCTTGAGTCTTAGCCTGGCAATCTGTGTTAGAAAGATCTTTTCGGTAACAGTATGAAGGCAAAGATTTTATTTGGACATGCTGTGGAGATGACTGAGAATCAGAGCTATGTACCTGATATATTACCCTTGGATATGAATTCAATACCTAATGGTCATGCTCACAAGCATATAAAACTATTCAGGCTATAGCAACCCTAAGTGGATGCCTCCTGCACTCCCATAGCCTATTTGAAGTCCTCAGTTCATCATCCAACAAGTACTCAAAGTTCATCATGTATATTCCACTTTCATGGCAGAAGGAAATGGAAGAAATATAATTATCACTGCTTTTCATACTCTTTTGATAAGCTATTATAAGCCTCTTTCCATTGCTTCAGAAACTGGTCCTACCCACATTCATATTATATATTTTCTGCCAGTCACTAGCATTCTCATATCTTTATATACTCATCTCAGCAAGGAAAGACAACATTCTGCTTACACATTCATTCATTCATTCATTCATTCGTTTGTTTGTTTATCACAATTATACCTTCCCCTTAACCAAAAAGAGATCTCAGAGCATCTTACAAAAATCATTCCTAAAACACGCTCTGTCCTCAAACTCGCAAACAAAAAAGACATAACACACAAGGAAAAAGGAATGATAGGGAGGAGGAAAATGCAAGCTCCAGCACACAAGTTCTTACAATTACAGCCAGCAGTGGTAGTGGCAGTTCTGGCTATGGGGAATTAAATATGAATTTCTATGACCCACATGCGTGGGGAGGGGCAAAAGAAAATGGCTGGGTTCAGAAATGCCTGGATTCAAAACACGGGGCTTTGCACACTCTCCTGCAGAGACAGAGCCCCAGTAGCAGAGATTAAACTCACAAAAGTTAAGCAGTAATATAGGGTTAGGATTATAGGTTGCTAAAACTTTTTAACCAGTTCAATTGCACGCAGCAGCTAACCTCTTTCTACTCCTCTTGCTATGAGCAGGCCACACACAGAAGTAAGTTTAAAATGATTTACTTACAGATATTCAAGGTCTCGGCCATGCATTGTTCCATGCAGCAGCAATGATAATGCAGGCAGAACACTCTTGGGTAGAAAATACAGCAGGACAACTTCGATTATGCATTCTAAGCTTGCAGCTAGCTTAAGCATGTCCATCCTGGTTGATTACACGATGCAGAGATAGAGAGATAAGGAAGAGGAAAGAAGCTTCACTTCCTTTACAGAGGAGAGGGGGTATGATCAAACTGAATCTATCTAGCAATACAACTCTGTGATCCTTAACCCCTTAATGCACCAACTAGCAGCCATGCATAGTTATGTTTTACCGCAATCTCCCACATTGGCTGTCTTTCCCTTAATAAGAGCAATCCTTCCCCTGAAACACTCTACACACACACCCTGATCAGATCCAGGAACAGAGCTTGTGAGACATCTAGGTCAAAAGGACAGAGCAAATCGTGAAGTTACCTTTTCCCCAGAGTTCACTCAGTTTTGCTGCTTTTTAAAATGAAAATGGGGAAATCTCATTGTATTAAAAGAAATAACATTGTTTCCTCCTACCCCCCTCCATCATCCATTTCCAGCAGAAGAATCTCAGTGCTTTTCCTAGAGTAGACCATAGCTTGCCTATTTTGCAGAGGACCCTGTAGTTTTTGAGGTATGTTTCTTTGAAATATTAAACTTTCAGCAAGACCTTATTTCAAGCAGCTGTAACTCATTTATGTTTAACATACTGCAACAAGCTTGTAGGTTTGCTTGCACATAAAAGATGGCAGAAGAAATCTGTAGTGTGTAACTTACTGGTACTACACAGAAGTAATATTCAGGGTGTTACTGCCTAGTGTACATAAAACTTGTTCAAAAGGTGAAAATAAAATAGTATTCCAGCATTATTTCCATACAGAACTGAAGATGAGAGTTGTCTACATGGGGTGGGGGAGGTTTTAAGGGTAAAACTGGATTTGCTTGAGGTGGTACAGCTGCATTCTGTTGTGTGAAGTAATCTGCAACAGCAGCCTTTATAAGATGGCTTAGTAGTTCTCTCTCTCCCTCTCTTTGGAATAAATTAAATTTATCTGCACAGATGTTGAAAATCCTGCTCAAGCCCCATCTAATCTTTGTTTTGTTTGAATTTTACATTAAATTATGTTAAGGAAAGATAAATAAACGAGGTGCTTGTATCTTAGTATTTATACCCCTCCATAACGTTGTGACATAACAGGTTGGCAGACTATATTGGTGTCTTCAATCAAAGTTTTTGACTTTATTTAGAAATGAGCCCATATAATCATTTTAAAAATAGCATGAAGCAAGTCATAAAGACTTGCTGTCGAACTGTGCTAATTCTCTTTCCACAGGCTTACCATCAGCAAAATTATTTTAAAAACTGATAAATTAAAAATGGTGCTCTATTGCAAAATAATAATGTATGTGTATTTTTCCTTATCAAATATACACATCAATTATAAGTGGTTTTTAAAAAAACACCTGAAAAATCTATTGTGTTGTGTTTTTTTACAATGCTATAGTCATTAGAACCTTAACATTACAGCCAAATCCAGTTTTATGGAGAGAGTATTCTGCAGAATGTGCTAATGAATTATGCCAAGCAAGAAAACAGAAGTGGGCATAAAACTGAATGATGTTCTCACTGGCATATATAGACTTACCAAGCATCTGCTCTTACAAACACTGTAAAAAGGCCTTTCCCCAAGCCATAGAAACTGCTGCATTTGTGTGCAATGAGTTCAATATGGAGATAAAAGGAAAATCTTTGGTTCATCAATAATGAGACATGGACACACATGGGCTCATTCTCAGTTGCCAGAGGCTCAGCTAATTACCTTTCTGTTATTCTTGGGGGTGGGAGATCTTCCTAAAATGGAGAGGGAAGTGGAGTTAAAATTAAGTAGATATGGGGGGGGGGGATATAGTGATGGCGAGTGACTTCTTCGGTTCGGATTAAGACTCTTTCAGAATTATCAGTGGCATAATGAAGTTTTCTCTCAACAAACTGGTAAGAGTGGAGGGAAACCTGTGACTCACCAAGCAAGCCTTGTGTCTGAGTAGGGATCCTCCACAATTTGAATGCAGGGCTCCCTAGTCAAAACCAAACACCCTAATTACACAGGGGTCACCAGTGTTGCACCCACAAGTGGCAGTGTGCCCACCAGTGCCTCCAATGGCAGCTGCGAAAGTTCTCAGTAGACATTCCCTTAGGAATCCACAATGCATGAGTTTATTTGCGCCTCCTGTTGTGTTACTATTTGCACATGCTCAGCCTCTCCTGCAGTGAACACACACCCTCAAAAATGCCCACATTTCATTGGATGCCAGAATTGGACACCCACAATAATTCTGAACAGAGGGAGGTTCAAATTCCTCCTGTGTAGGAATGAGCATGGCAGTGGCTGATGTACAGTCAAACCTCGGTTGTTGAACGTAATCCATTCCGGAAACCCGTTTGGCTTCCAGAATGTTCAACAACCAAGGCGCGGCTTCCAATTGTTTGCAGGAGCTTGCTGCACTCAAGCGGAAGCTGCGCAGGACGTTCAGCTTCTGAAAAGCGTTCATAAACCGGAGCATTTACTTCTGGGTTTTTGGCGTTTGGGAGCCCAAAACGTAGGCATTTGGGATCCAAGGTTTGGCTGTAGTTGTATTTTTTCCCATTGATGAGGTACCGTATTTTTCACTCCATAAGACACACTTTTTTCCTGCTAAAATGTAGGGGGAAATGCCTGTGCTTCTTATGAAGCGAATGCTGCACGGAGGAGGGATGTGTAAGCGGCTCTTGTCTGCTTTGCTGCTTTAAAGCGAGCCACAGAGGGAAGGAAGGGGAGCCATGGCCCCCGTCTGTCCCTCCTCTGGCTCGCTTTAAAGCAGCAAAGCAGACAGGGGCCGCCCGCTTTGCTGCTTTAAATTTGCTGCTTAAAAGCGAGCAGCGGAGGAGGGACGGACGGGACCCATGGCTCCCTTTCCTTCCCTCCTCTGAGGCTTCTTTAAAGCAGCAAAGCAGACAGGAGCCACCCACTTTGCTTCTTTAAATAGTTTAGTACAACATTTGATTCAGAATATTTTTTGTGTGTGTTTTCCTCCTCTAAAAACTAGGTGCGTCTTATGGAACGAAAAATACGGTAGACGATGGGAAATGTGCATTCATCATTTTGTCGCCCCGTCTCTTTTTCTGCTCATCCAGAAGTTTGCA